GTCAGCGTAGCTTTTCTGTCGGTCTCTAGAGGCTTTCAATCGTTCACGAATTTGAACGATCTTCTCTGTCGTTTCCCGAATGATTTCCGGATCCGTGAGAGTGCTTTCGGGAACTCGTCCCTTAGCTAACTGGGTATCACCCACTTCAGCCCATCATAGAGGGGACCTGCACTTTCGGCCATAGAGGGCCTCGAATGGAGCTGCCTTCATGCTCGTGTGATAACTGTTGTTGTAGGAAAATTCAACTAGGGGTAAATGAGTATCCCAAGCTTTTCCAAAGTCAATCACACAGGCACGCAACATATCTTCTAAGGTTTGGATAGTTCTCTCACTTTGCCCGTCGATCTGTGGATGGTAGGCTGTACTCATGTCCAGCCTAGTTCCTAGGGAACTTTGTAATGACTGCCAGAACCTCGATGTGAATCTACTATCTCGGTCCGAGATGATAGATAAAGGAACGCCGTGCAGCCTTACAATCTCCCTAATGTAAGTTCTGGTAAGTTTCTCCATCTTGTCTGTTTCTTTGATCGGTAGGAAGTGTGCAGACTTGGTCAGTCTATCGACGATGACCCATATGGAATCAAGTCCACCCGTCGTCTTGGGTAACTTGGTTATGAAGTCCATAGTGATCCGCTCCCACTTCCATTCTGGTATTTCCGGTTGTTGTAGAAGACCGGAGGGTTTCTGGTATTCGACCTTGACCTTTGCGCAAGTAAGGCATTTACTCATGAAGGTAGCAATATCTGCTTTCATGTTAGGCCACCAGTATAGCTTTTTAAGATCCAGATACATCTTATCTGAACCCGGGTGGACGGAATAACGTGTGTTGTGAGCTTCGGTCATGACCAAGTCTCTGAAGCCACCGTGTTTCAGTGTCCAGATCCGATCCATGAGGTATAAGGCTCCGCCACCCTTGACTTCCAAGTTCTTATCCATCCCTCTAAAGGATTCACCCGTCACGTTTTCAGGTTTCAAAGCGTCGAGCTGAGCCTCCTTAATTTGCATGGATAAGTGTGAATGGATAGTTAGAGTCAAAGATTTGACTCTACGACCAGTATATTCTTTCCGACTTAGGGCGCCGGCTACTACATTGGCTTTACCCGGATGATAACGAATTTCACATTCTATTGAAGTGATATAGTTTGTATAGAATGGAAATTTTGGGTTGTCACAAGGGGTAATCGAGTCTTTTAGTTGTGGACCCAGTATATGTTGTTATACGTATGTGTGTTGGTACTTTTAGGGGAACTCACTAAGATTTGGCTTACAGTTTTGAGTTTATCGTTTCAGGTACTTCTGAGAATTGTGGGAAAGCAAAGACGTGATCATACACAACTTCATGTTTTATGTCACTAGGTCTTGGGAAAACTCTGATTTGAAATAATGCTTTGAAACAATGACTCTTTTTGTAAACAATGTTGATTAATGGTTGATTTTGAAAATTTTAAATTTCATTGAGTTTTAGAGTGTTACATCGACTTGGCACTTCCCAAACAAAAGAATACCATGTAAAATAATTTAGAGTCTTCCTTAATTCCTTGGTATGTCGATTTTGACCATATTTCAGCAAATGAGTGTTTTGTTCTTTTCAAATTGACACTCTTTCTTATCCGCTTAGAATTTGTTTTTTGGTACCGAAGAAACCAAGTAAAAAGTGAAAATTTTAGCAATAGGTAGATGAAGAACATGTCAAATTGACCCCTAATTTTGAAGATGGAATTGCAGCTATTAAAAAGGGTGTTTCATGTCTTAAGAAAGAAGTGAATGAGCTGAAAAGGAATTCAAGTAATGAAAGGGTTAAAATAAGTTTTAATGAAGTGAAGTTTAGTTGGTATTAATATTGGAATTATTATGGCTAATGTATTTTCTTCACATGATGTAATTTAGTTGATATTGCTATTAAATGAAGTTGGTATTTGTATTAAATATAGTTGGTATTGTACTATAATAGTTACTAATATCAAAAGTACAATGTTATTACCAAAACTATGAAAAATGACACATAATTACACTGCCTGGATGAGCTACATATAAGAATTTTTCATTAATGATTGTCTCACATAGAATGTCGCGTGAACAAAACATGAAGAAACCGGCCATAAAGATTAAATGTATACAAAAACAATAAAGACTTATTTTGCAAAAAAAAAAAAAAAAAAAAAAAAAGGACAACTAAACCGAACCTTGAATTTTGGCCTAAATGTGGTTCAAGGAGTTGGTCAGGATGGATTTACTAATTTATTTTAGTAAGATATATTTTTTTTTTTGAAAGAGACACTAAGATAGTTTTTTATTGGAATTGTTGGTTGCAATTCTCTATAAACAATTTGTAATGTTTTGGTTTTTTCTCTCGCTTCTTGCTAGAGTTTTGTGTTTTCAAATACATGGTTGGTTGGTTAAAAAAAGGGACCATGAGTAAACTAATGGCTACTAGGTATGAGACCGATTACGTACGGATAAGGTTTTAAGGTCCGTAACCAGGATCGGTTCTCATTTTTCTGGTTTGAATAAAGAGATGTAACTCGAGACTGATAGAGACATATTTTGAAACCCAGTTTTTTGCTCAACTCTAATCATGCAAAGACTATCCTAAATAAACCACAAACTTATACATTCAAAATGCAAGTTAGAGGATTAATCTTTATACGTTTGATATAAAATCAGAGACCATCTGTAATTGTCATCATGAATGGATTTGTGGTCTACGTGGCTACGAACCACAATTGTGAATACCACCCGATATGTTAGTGGTGGCTAGTGATAGAGATGTTCTGGGGTCATTTGTGGTGGGAAGCAATAATCACCACAAGTCCACACTCAATCATCTTTTTTCTCTCTCTATCTATGTCTTTAATTAATTAAATTTTTTATTATTTAAATAGTTCAAAAATATGAAGGATATAATAGTGGGTATCTTATAGTTTTAGTGATTGGATGTGGTGTTGAAGTATCACCCACTACTATAATGGTTAGTGGTGAGATGATCTTATTATTACTTTGTTGAGCACAAACTTGGGAAATGTGAATTACAAAATATTGTGTTACTTCTTAAATAATGTATATTGTAATAAGCATATATATAGTCGATTTTGACAATCGCTATAGAATAGGAGTTTATATCTTTTCTTAACATATGTAATGGGATTATGATTGTACAAATTTTTTATGGGTACGTGAAGGGGCGTATTTTGTGTATTGATCGTATACAGTATACTTATATTGTTGATCTTATATATTGTAAGAGGTTCAAAATTTTGGATAAGATTTGCCACATTTAATTATTTTCGTAATGAAAACATAACTTGTGGGCGTCTAGTGGAAAGATAATTTGTGTTTGGCTTCTCTAAAAAGTTTGGTGCAAATATGGGAATGATCCGTTTTAGGCTAAACAGAGATCAAGCTTCAAACGTATTGCAAAGACAATGATGAATGTAGTAGCACTTACTTTTGTTTTTTCGTATATGCTAAGCAAGGGATCGATGTCACACCAATGAGCATTCGCACTAGGTTATGAAGGATTGATGGTTATATAACTATATTTCCTTGATATGATCATTTAGATTTCAGTTTTTTTGGAAAGAAAAATAACATTTTAAGAATTTTGATAATAATTGTATAAAAAACATACTTATACATATATACATACATACATATACATATATATGCGTACACACATACGTACTTACATACATATATGTATTTTGTGTTTAGAACCAGATCTAACAAAGTTCCACGTAACTTCATTGTAGGGTTTGTTTCGTAAAATTAAAATTAGCTTGTAGCTGTAAGCTGAAAATTAAACCTTTTTATACGAATTATACATGTCTTTAAATTAATTAATATTTAGTATTTTACATTTACTATAATGAAATGAACAATCAAATACCAATGTAACATAATAACTTAATAAACAACAATTTAAAAAAAAAATAGATTTCCAACATAAAGTCATAAATTCATAAACATCCGGATGAAATTGAAAACGATTCATGCAAAGTAGAATTCTATCGTATATTTCATTGATTCATAAATAATTCTTTTTTTAAATACAATATATAGACGGGTTGATGTGCTGACCCGCGAACCCAAATAACCATCATATTAAATAAATGGGTTGGTGGTTAACGGGTCAGAAATTTCAACCTAAACTCGTTTATTTTTGTGTCGGGTTACAAGTTGGGTCGAAAATTACTATCACTATTATGAGTGTTCATCAAAAGTAGCTTGAAGTTTTTAAAACATGTAAAATTACATAAAATGATGTTTTTGTAAAATATAAAATAGAAACATGATTTTAGAAAAGTATAATTATGTCAATTTGCAAAAATATAAAATAGCTAACACTACTTGAAGTAGTTTTTGGATTTGAATCTTTTTGTTTAAAGAAAAATATAGAAGTACCTAATACCAAACAAAAAAAATTGAACTTCTTGTAAAACTAATAGAAACTCTAAAAAATTATGTGTACCTTTTAATGTCATTATTTCCATGACCCAGTTAAATCGTTGAAATTTGAACGGGATAATGACTTGAGAGGGTAACATACTATTTCATTTTGTCACAATTGGTCACTAAACTTTTTTTTTTTTTGCTCTAATAGCCATTTAACTTGTTCATTCGTGTAAATTTCACCCTATGACTGATTATAGCCGGTTTCAACGATTGCATGGGTCTGATGTGGCTTTTTTTTCCTAGGTGGCCAATGAGATGGCATGTAGGCCCCGATTTTGCCTCCCATCCTCATTAAAGGTAAGAGTGAAGTCTCGTTTGGTCCTTAAATTCAATTAGGGCACCAAGTCTCATTAACCCCCGATTTTTTCTCCTTCAATATTCAATCGGTCTCTGTAATGGCTTCATCTCAATGTCCCATTGATCGAAACTTCATTGTAGTGGATTTCCACTATAATGGAGCGTTTGCACCCAACCCATTAGTATACTTTGATCCCGACAAACAATCAGTAAGAGACGTTGACTTCAATGCATTTAAGTAGGAGGAGTTCATGGAATTCCTTCAAAAGCTCACCAGAACTAGAAGCAAAGACATTTACTTTTGCCTTCCACAAGAGTCTTTAAGTCAGGGAATTCATACACTGGTGAATGACGGTGATTACAAAGAATTTTTGGATTTGGCTTATGCAAATGAGAGGAGAATGAATGTGTATGTGGACCACTGTAATGAACCAATCTTCGAATGGATTGAGGATGAGGAAAATGAAGATCAAGACTACAGCTGTGAAGAGGATGAAGACTCGGTATTCTCGGAGACGTATTCTGTTGACCATGAAGAAGATGATGTTGAATATCCATTCCCAGCTAACAAAACCAAGGGTGACAGGTTCTTAAACAAACTTTGTGTAGACACATTAGATGAAGGTGTTGAATATGTTGAACCTCGATACCCTGTACATGATGATAGACAACCATGGAATCAGATGAAACCAGTGTTAGGTATGCGATTTTCTAACCCTGATGAGCTTAAAAACATGTTGAGCAACTATGCAGTTGTTGGTGGATATGATCTCTGGTTTGAAAAAAATGACTCCCAAAGGTTGTTAGTTAAGTGTTGCAAAAAAAACAAGTCACCTAATTGTCCATTTAGACTTTGGGCCTCTTGGATGAGTAAAGAGAGGACTTTTCAGATAAAATCTTTAGTTAGTGAACATAATTGTAGCAGGGTGTTTAAGTTTGGGTCTATAGTAACTTATAAGTGGTTAGGAAAACAGTTTATGAGTGAAATTATAGAGAAGCCAAAAATCAGTGTTAGGAAGATGAAAGCTAAAGTTTCAACAACATTCAATATAAATGTGAGTGAGGGGCAATGCAGAAATGCAAAGAAATTTGCATTACAAGAAATTGAAGGAAGTCTAATTGAACATTATGGGAGATTATGGTCATATGGTCATGAAATTCTGAGGACAAACCCTGGGTCTACTGTGAGGATGGATGTAGACATCATGCCAGATTCCACAACTTTTTTTCTAAGTACTATGTCTGCTTTAAAGCTATAAGTGATGGTTGGAAGGAAGGGTGCAGGCCTGTGATTGGCATTGATGGTTGCTTTCTAAAGGGTATTGTGAGGGGAGAAGTTTTGGCAGCTGTAGGGAGGGATGCAAACAACCAAATCTACCCTATAGCATGGGCTGTAGTTGGAGTTGAGAACAAGGCCACATGGAAGTGGTTCATAGATCTTATCATGGATGATATTGACGGTGGTCTTGGTACAGGCATTACCCTTTTTTCTGATGGACACAAGGTGAACATTGGTTCATATTTATACATATGTTTTTATGCATGTTTCACTAATTTTGTTGTTGTTATTTGTAGGGGTTGCTAGAAGCAGTAAAAGAAAGGTGTCCAGAAGCTGAACACAGACAATGTGCCAGGCACATTGTGGCTAATTTTGCTAAAAGGTTTACCGGTCAACATTTCAGGAAGCTTTTTTGGAGGGCTGTTAGAGCTAGTACTGAACAGAAGTTCAAACATGTAATGGAAAAGAACAAATCTTTAGATACTCAAGCATATGAGTACCTTATGGACAGAGATCCTAGTACCTGGTCTAAGGCATTTTTTAAAGAGGGCAGAGATTGTGATGCAGTTGAGAATGGGGTGAGTGAGAGTTTCAATTCTGCTATTAGGCATGCTAGAAGGAAACCAATCATCACTATGCTAGAGGAGATTAGGATATTTGTGATGGAGAGGATATACAGTCTTAGAGTAGAAGGAATTGAATGGGATTTGAATATCTGTCCAAGTATTAGGAAGCGTATACAAGATTTGAAGGTTAAACAGAGGTAACATGTAGTTTTACAATTCATATATCCAAGTATTAGTTTGTGTTATTAGTTATTAATTTGTAGTCATTATTGCCTTATACAGATTGTGGGGGGTTACTCCTTGTGGTTATCAAAAGTATGAAGTTAGGTTCCATGATGCAGCATATGGAGTGGATCTAATTGCAAAGACTTGTGCATGCAGAATATGGCAACTTACAGGGATACCATGCTTACATGGAGTAGCTGCAATCTCTTCCCTGAATCAAGATGCAGAAACATATGTGTCCCAATCATACAGTAAAGAGGCTTATCTAAAATGCTATAATTATAGCATTAACCCTCTCAATGGTAGTGATATGTGGGAAGAAGTTCCTTATCGAAAGCCTTTGCCTCCAAAAAGAAGAAGATTACCTGGTAGGCCATCAGTGAAAAGGAAGAGGGATGCAGTGGAAAGGGAGTTGAGTGGACCAGTTAGACATTCTGTGACAAGAAGGGGATCCCTGATAAAGTGTAGTATTCGCAAGGAACCAAGTCATAACAAGAAAAAGTGTCCATCTAAGCAGCAAACAAATACATCAGGTAAATGTCCCAATTATCTGAACATAATACATCATTTTGATATGTAATCTTAAGACTTCAATTTTTTTGCAGCACCAAGTTCATCCAGGGATAGTGGAGCAGGACCAAGTCAACCACCAGCAGCAGCCCAACCACCTCCACCACCACCACCAGTAGCAGGCCAACCACCTCCACCACCACCACCAGCTGCAAGGCCTGTCCCAAGAAGGGCCCCAATTGGTAGAACTGGACGGAGGAAATATTCTGAAAGGATTGTCAAAATGGCATTGAGGAGGAACATACCTGGGGTTGGGAGCAGTGCAGAGAACCCTGTAGTCCTTAATTAAGTAGGTGTGTAGGTAGTGGGTGGGCACATCTTTTGTTATCAAGTTGTGATGTAAATACAATACTATGTGTTATTTATGCTTTTCTTTTGGGTTTGTGGGCACATGGTGGCCCTTCTTTTGTGGTCCCTAGAAGGAATCTTTTGTCCTATCTTTTGTGTATGCAGACAACTATTCACCCTTTATTTAATTTAGAATATTGATGGAGTATTTGCAATGAATTCAACCACCGTATTCAATTAGTTTCTTATTATTTTTATGCATTGTTGTCTCAATGATTCCATTACAGTCAAAGAATGGAATCCTATATTGTTAGATAATATGACAGTTAATCAGTTTTGACTACCAAGGGTAGTTTCGTCAATTCCTATTTTCTAATCTATTACAAGTTATTTAAACATCTTGATGTGTAATGTTATTAACTGAAATATGACAGTTAACCAGTTTTGACTACCAAGGGTAGTTTCGTCAATTCCTATTTTCTAATCTGTTACAAGTTATTTAAACATCTTGATGTGTAATGTTATTAACTGAAATATGACAGTTAACCAGTTTTGACTACCAAGGGTAGTTTCGTCAATTCCTATTTTCTAGTCTGTTACAAGTTATTTAAACATCTTAATGTGTAATGTTATTAATTGAAGGAAGTCTAATTGAGCATTATGAAAGATTATGGTCATATTAGCTAAGATGTTGACTGGAATTAGCTAAGCTTTTGACTGGAGTTAGAAAGAAGTCTTTGATGTGTAATGCTATTAATTGTACATATATGCCTTCATTCCAGTCAAAATTACTACTTTGTGATTCCATTCCAGTCAAAATTACTACTTTGTGATTCCATTCTAGTCAAAATTACTACTTTATGATTCCATTCCAATCAAAATTACTTCATTCCATTCCAACAAGAAGTTAAGATAATACATTCATTCCATTCAAACAACATCTTTAAATACATCATTTCATCATATACACGATGATCAAAAAAAGAAATCCTATGGTAAACTTATATATTTTTTCCTTCATTGCAATGGCATCAGAGTACTTTTCCTTCTTCATTTGTTCCATGTCTTCCTTCACCTTCTCTACTTCGGTCTTTAATGCTACTAATTCAACTTTCATTCCCTCCACCACTTCCATTAAAGGCATTTCTACAGGTTCTACATCTAACCATTTCCAATATTTGCATTTAACCTTCAACACAAATAACTCATAATGAGATTTCAAATTAGGAAAAAAGAATCAGAAAAGGGAGAAGATTCAAGTGAAATAGTTTACCTCATTACACACCATGAAATGCCTCCCTGGATTCTTTGGTGTTTTTGATGTTAGAATACGTGCAGGGAACCCACAATCACAAGTTTTTGTATCGTACGCAGTTGATTTCTTGCTTGATCGATTGAGGGATGATGAGAAGCTGTAGGAGGAAGCCATCAGGGGTATTAGGGCACAATCAAGGAACCACATACACCCCTCTTTTAATAACATTAGCCCTACATGCCACGTAGGATCTTACTGGCATGTAGGATGGACCAATCCATTGAAACCGGCAAAAAGCAGTCGTAGGGGTGAAATTTACACGAATGAGCAAGTTAAATGGCTATTAGAGCAAAAAAAAAAGTTTAGTGACCAAATGTGACAAAATGGAATAGTATGTTACCCTCTCAAGTCATTATCCCAATTTGAACATGTGAATTTGTTGTTTAGGTTAGCCCAAGACCTATAAATTTAATTTGGAGTAGAATATGGTTAGGTCTATCATGTCTAGAATGTATATGGGAGTTGTTCCAATATTTAGGTTAAAAGATTTAAATTTATATTGTTTTATTATACATGTACATTTATTTTACAAGAAAAAAAAATCTGTATTACGTAATATATCATGAATATAAAGATAATTGTCAAGAGATTTAAAGCAATTATAAGAAAATTTTGTTAAAATAATTTTACTATGAACAAAGTTATGAAGACAATTCTATAAGTTTGTTAACATTTACTAAATAAACTTTATCATTTTAAAACTCAAATCTTAATGCTTTTAAATGTTTTATAAACATACGACAATAAAAGCATAAAATAAACATCATACGATTTTGTAATCGACTATTAATTAAAAAAACCATGCGTTGCTCAAGCCCAAAAATTCCTATGAGTAGTTCTTGAATTAGCATGAACTAATTTGAATCAATAGAAAGGACAAAATTAAAATTTACTATTTTTCCCCCAAAAGTATCATTGTTGAGGGTGCAAAAACGTTGCTAAATGAACTGAAGAAGGGAAAATTTTAGATAGGCCTCGCATGGATCGGATTCTAGTGGGCTAGATCTAGATTGTTTGTATCACTTGGGTTGGGTCGTTCCTCTTTGGGCCTTGGTTGTTGTTGCCTAACTATTACATCACAGTAACAAAATTTACATCATAGTAACAAAATGGCCGAACCATAACAACTTAAATTACAAGCAAACAAAACATGTTCAAAAGGTAAGAACAACGAATGAACAACCAAAATGTATAAGTTCTCCGAATCCCTCATATATATGAGACCAAAGCTCTCCTGTAATTTTTCTCGTACTCTCTCGGATTCTGAAGCAGCTCATCTCACAGCCCCTTTCCTATCCTCTAAAATCAAAGCAGTTGTTTAGGCTTGTGGTAATGAGCGAGCCCCCGTGCCTAATGGCTTCTCTTTCAAGTTAATTAAATTCTTTTGGGGCTCTCTTGAAGCTGGCTTCGTGAATATTTTTAACCAGTTTCACACAGGCGGTACTCTCAACGTGGGATGCAATTCCTGGTTTATTTCCCTAATTCCAAAGACCAAGGATCTGATTTCTCTGTCGGATTATCGTCCGATTAACCTAATTGGATGCATTTATAAGGTGATTGCAAAAGTCCTTGCCAATCGCCTCAAGATTGTTATTTACGTGAAGTTTGGGAATCAAAAGTCTATCTCCCACTTGAGTATAAACACTTTTGGAATAATCTGGTACCTATTAAAATCATTTTTTTTTTTTTTTGCATGGCGAGTTGTATTGAATAGGTTACCTGTGAAAACTGAGCTAATAAAAAGAGGAGTTGTTTTAAGCTCTGGTACATGCGATCTGTGTGGTGTAGGTGATGAATCTGTTATACATCTTCTATGGGAATGTTGTTGAGTTCGAGATGTCTAGAGTATATTTCAAGATTGGTGCGAGCTTGATCTCTCTGATATTAATTATGTTGTGCATCTCCTCTCTGTCTCCCACTCCTTTGCCAAATCACCTTCTCAACTAAAGATGACTCACGCGATCATTCTTTCGGCTCTTTGGTCTTTGTGGAAAGCCAAAAATTATTGCTCCTTTAACAATATTGCTCCATCTTAGACCTGTATCTTTGAAGATATCAATATGAACTTTTTCATGTGGATAAAAAACATGAGAGGGGGTACCTTCTTAAATTGATCTTCTTGATGCATTTTTCCTTTGATATAATTCTTGTACTTTTATTTTTTCTAATGTTCTACTTTGCCACTAGCTGCTTGCTAGCGGTTTAATAAAAAATTTGCAGTTCAAAAAAAATAATACTTTCTAAAAATAAAAATATTTAAATCATCAAAATCCAATTTCCAATTAAATTATTTTTTACTATTACCACGAACACGAAGAACGTGATAAAAACAAGAAAAAATAATTTAATATAGCGATTTATTTGTTTTAAAAGTGGTTCCGATACCACTGTTGGGGGATTGTTCATTCCAACAACTATGTAATCAAGTACATCATATGCATATTAACGGTTTAAAAGTGTAATTATCCCTCCAAAGCTATGAATCCAGTTAGAACTTAATAAATCAAGTAAAACAACCATAAAGGAATTCAACAATTACTATCCCACCTGTTATATTCATAGATGTCGAATACTAGTTACCATGAATAGGTAACCTCTACAAATATCCACACAGAGCATAAACATTAAATGTTAAACAAACTAACATAAGTATTATTAAATTTAATTTAAATTTGTATTGAGATTTTAAATTTATACACTTGTCATAAATTAAATTAAAAAGATAGGAAAAAAAAGTAGAAATAATATTTATTTAATCCCTCTACCAAAAGTGATATCTTTTGCTTGAGATCGATGACCAAAAGAGAAGGGATAGTTGATGAAAGTGACACATATCATAAGGAAGGAATGAACTACGACTTTAGCTGTTTTGAGTTATTATGTCATTATGACCAAAACAACTTCCTTAAAAACTTAGTTGGTAGGATTCAAAAGGCTCGTTTCTTTACATGCATGATTAACTAATTTGATATTTTGACTAAATAAACCATTTTATTTAGCTTGTTAATAAACTATTTATTTATTTATTCCATTGTTGATTGATAAATAACAAACAATTACTATTTAATTATTTATTGAAGTTGGAAAATAATAAATTTATACACTATAAATATTATTATTTATTTTTTTTAATTATATCACTCTTTAGTAATTTGTAGCTAAAAATATTTTATTCATTAGTAGGTGTGTAAAACTCGTATATTACACGAGTTGATTAAAAAAATATTAAACATTAAAGTGTAAACAATAAATATTTGTTAAAATAAAAAAAAAGGTCATTACAATTTAATATCATATTTATTATATTTAGTACTTTACATATATAAATATATGGCTTTTCAATTTTTAAAATTGAAACAATAATATTTTTTTTTTCAAAAACACCACAAAGTGATAAGTGTCATAAATCATGAGATATAAACATGTAGCAAAATATTTATTAGGGTATTTTTTTTTTTCATATTATACCAAAGGTTCACCCGTTTCCATTTAGTCTTAAATTTATTTTATACAAAACAACATTTTTCAATAGGCGATACATATATTCAATAATTTTTATAATATCAACAGTTGTGGCAACACATTTTAGTATATGTAGCCTCTGCTATTATAAGCTAAAACATTGTTCAAAAGATGAAACATATAATTGGAACATTCTGCAATGTTTTCATCAAATAGTGCATTTG